TTCCATGAGCTTGATGCAAATTTCTCCCCTATTGCAAGGAAATCAATAATAGCCAAATTTATAAATAATATAATAATGTAATACTCTGTCCTACCTTTCTACTTCTATACCCTCTATTTTTTCAAACAATCTATAGATGACCATGCATGTAACATCTAAGTGATCTTTCTTTAAACTGTTTATTTCATATTCTCAAAGCCTGTATAAAAATCAAGCATAATTAATGTTCAAGGTCGTCTCTTTGGATGAGAATGAGATTCTGCACCTACAGGTTTTCAACAGTATTTCTCATTCAATCCCAATCAAAATCCCTCTCTTGATTGTAAGATAATTTCCATGGTTCTGAGCTGAAAATGAGTACTTTAAGTTCAGGAATTGTGGACTATTCAAATGTGTTACAGGAGAAAGAAGTTGTCAATAGTTTGTAAACTATGATATAACATAGAAAATACATACAGCTTTGTATTTACTGAGATATGTCAGTAGATCTTGAGGTGTGTCTGGAATAATTTCTGTTCATGGGTGCAAATTTCCTTGAACTCAGTTTTATTAAAGACCTTTTCATTAATATTAATGAGACTTTCATCATCTGGATCAATGGTAAAAGGGTGGCAGAGACTTTTGACATGTAAATATCTTAAATGACAAATGGTCGAATTCAAAAGGATTAACACTTACTGCTCTTGATTACATCTCATGCCAAATTTGTACAACTCATCTTCGACAACCTTTCCTGACATCAATACCCATTTTTTGCTATTGTTCATTGTTTGATATGTGTCTATAAACCAGGATTGGCAAATGTATGGTCTATTGGTGGTCCATTGGGTCCATTAATGTAACACTTTGACCATATTTAGTATTTTATTAATGACAATGGACCAGTCAATTTGCCAACCCTGGTCAAATCTATTTGAACTTCATTTTCACCAGTTTTGATCTGTATCATATCCAAAATATAAAAAGGTGAGATAATATTCTTGTGTTATATGTGGATGTATTCTATGCAACCTTCTTGATCTCTTGAGAAGAAATTAAACCTGTACTCTCAAGAACATGTTTAGACACACACAACATGACATCCAATTCATTATTCTCTTTTCTATAAAAAAAAAGGGTTAAGAATAAACATGAATGTTAGCATAAGAATGAACATCTAATCAAATTATGATTTTCAGGATTATATGAGAAAAAGAAAATACTTGATGTTTCAGCTGAAATAATTCCAAGAATTACAAAATTAATAGTTATATAACATAGAGAAGGAAACCAAAAAGAAACAAGTTAGTTGTAGTTTCTGTATACTATAATAACCATTAATGTTGGATGTTGATGGTGGTGATTTGGTTTTAATCCTCTCGTTAGACTCATAAAGGTCTGTCTTTTCATCTCTATCATGTTTATCATTAATGTTGGATGTTGATGATGGTGATTTGGTTTTAATCTTCTCATTAGACTCATAAAGAATAAAAATAATGGTTACAAGGATGATTTAATGGTAAACATTTGTGAATTTGCATCATCAATAATTGTAGAAATTAAGGAAAGATTTCCAAATCCAAAATTATTATCTGCAATGAAAATTCTTAATCCTCAAAATGGCCAAAAGACAAGGAATCTTTAATGTTTTATGGTGAATTAGAATTGGATGAATTAGCTTCAGTTTATGGGAAAAAATATTTACCAGATTATCCTTTAGGTCTTATAGATTCTGTTGCTGTTCAAGAAGAATGGTTTGGGTTTAAAATAGTGGTACATTCAAATCATAAATATTTAGCTATAGATGGTTTATTTCCTTTATTATATGATAATTATTTAGATAGTTATCCAAATATCTTAAAACTTATGGAAATAGTGTACTCAATTCCATTTTCTAGTGTAGATTGTGAAAGAGGTTTTAGCAAACAGAATATTATCAAAACAGATTTACGTAATTCAATGGAAAATGACATATTGCACTTATTAATGATGGTTGGTTTAGAAGGCAATGATTTATTTGGTTATGATTTTAGTGATGCTCTTAGTAAATTTCTTCAAAGTAAAAACAGAAGAATAAAATAAACAAATTTTTAAAAATTTTAGCACCAAAAAATTTTCTTCTGGAAAATTTTTAGCATTCAGGAGAAACTTCCATTTTTTTTCAGATCCTATTTCCAGCCCTGGTGCCAACTTATCAAGATTTTTAAATTAAAAAAAAAGGGCTGGAAATTTTTCTCCGAGTTAGGCCAAATCCGACTTATTGAGTTTGTCTATGTATAGCCCAATGGACATTAATCACCGGGTTCACAAAAAATTTTTTTTTAAAATGCTGCCCATAAAACATTCTCTCACTGAATATCACAGTATTAAATAAAAAGGTCAAATAAATCCAATCATTATGCACTTTGTCATTTTTGTAAACTAAATTAACAAATACTAAAAAATTGGTAACTTCTCACTTAAAAATGAACAATATACTGAACATGAACAAGAGAAAATTCTTTTTCCTGGAGATGTGAATAATCAATATGATGGTGGTAATTTTTTAGTAACTTTTTTTATTGAAATAAATATTATTATTAAGCAAAATAAAACTTACAATTTTATATTTTGAGGTCCTGAACTTGATTCTTCATCTTCAATATGCATCAATGAATTTTCAAGTCTTTCAATTTTATCAAGTTCATCATCAGCCTTATCTGTAGAAAAATCAGGTAATAAAAAAAGAAAAATAAGTAATTATTTTGCTCATTCTGTTCCTCTTTCTAAACAAGATAAAGAACATTGGGAGAAGCTTGTATTGAATTCTACCATAGATAATGATTGGTCATTCAGATGGGTTGACAAAAAATCAAGTCAAATATTATTTAATTTTGCAAGTCCAGGTTTGAGATTACCAAGCTGTAAAATATTAGCTGGTCATATTTTAACTAGTAATTCTAAACAGTTTAATTGATACTGCGTAGAAGGATTTTTTTGGTGTTACAATAGGCTTTGATGGGTGGAAAAACATTAATAAGTAGGAAATTTTAGGTTCAGTTTTAATTATTTCACATGGATAAATTTTAATTTGGGAAACATAAAAGAATTATCATTAAATTTTTTGGACAACTAAACACCAAAAATAATGCTATGATTACTGATTAAGCATCACAAAATCAAGCAGCAAGGTATTTTTTTTAAAATAAATTTTTATTCAATTATTTGTAAGTTTAACTTATATATTTTGTAGAAAATGGCTGGCACCAGAATGACATGATGTTTTTTTTTGATCCTTGTTTTGTATATCAAACCAATTTAATTGTTGGAGAGATTTTAAAGAAACATCTAGTTTAGTTGTTTCATCTGAAAAGGCAATTCAAATCATTTTTTTCTTAAACAGATCAGTTTACTTTATGGCAGAGTTACATGATGAACAAAAGTTTAAACATAACAAATATTTTGCACTTCTTCTTCCATGTGCTATTTGCTGGAATTCTCATTACCACTGCTACTCCAGTATGTTGAGAGTTAAGTTTGCTTTAAAGGTATTTAAAAAATATCATTAAAGGTTTTTTATTCAATAAGAATTAATTTTTATATTTGTTTAGTTGCTTGTTTCAAAATATGCTCCTAGTGAATTTGAAGCAGATGATAATTATACAGGGAATGATGATAATGATAGAGAATTGCCACTTGAAACCTGTAGAATAATTGCCAATGAAGATTGGTGGAGGGATATTAAAAAATTAGAAAAGCTTTTGTGGTGCACTCAACAAATTACAAACAGACAGGTAATGTGCTATTTGCTGGAATTCTCATTACCACTGCTACTCCAGTATGTTGAGAGTTAAGTTTGCTTTAAAGGTATTTAAAAAATATCATTAAAGGTTTTTTATTCAATAAGAATTAATTTTTATATTTGTTTAGTTGCTTGTTTCAAAATATGCTCCTAGTGAATTTGAAGCAGATGATAATTATACAGGGAATGATGATAATGATAGAGAATTGCCACTTGAAACCTGTAGAATAATTGCCAATGAAGATTGGTGGAGGGATATTAAAAAATTAGAAAAGCTTTTGTGGTGCACTCAACAAATTACAAACAGACAGGTAATGCTTGTCTTCATGATGTACTACATTGTTTGCAAGATGTGGAAAGAATATCCTGACCAAAATTTAGGTGTAAGAATTATTATTTCATCTAGAAAAACGTTGGCAAATATGGGAGCAACCGTTATTATTATTATCCTTCATTCTTCATCCTGAATATCATGACAAAATTTTCCTTCAAGATAATATATCTATTTCTATTGCAAACTCAGTGAATGGATGATATGTTATTTTTGTGTATGTATGGTTTAAAAAAGCTTTTGATACTTTGTTAGGTGAATTATAAAATTATCAGGCAAAATTTTCCTTTTAACAATATTTCATTAAAATAATTTAATGATGGTGTATTTGGCTTTTGGGGACTTTGTTTCAGCATATACACCAGATTTGAGTATTTTTTCTATCAAAGTATTTGCAATATGCATAATAATGCTTCTGTGAGAAGGCTCTTCTGAAATGGATTTTTTCCACACAATCTTTTGGATGTATGTGAATTTTATATTTTTTTTATATATTTGACTATAATTATTAAATCATCTAATTTTTTTATTATAGTCTGAAAAGGTCTTTGCTATGAGTCAAATGAAAGGAGAATTTCAGAGATTAGAATGATTAGAAAATATTCAAGATTCAAACAAAAAATTTAAAACTACAAGTATTGCAATTCCAATTATTCAAGAACAAACAGATGAATTGTTTATGGTTTCTGATGATGATTATAGAAATGATGATTTTTCTAATAATGATTTGAATACTCTGAACATGATATTGAATCATCTCATGAGTGGAGAAATTTAATCAATGAATGGGATTGAAATCGTGGAAGAAGAAGAGAAGGAGGAGGAAACGGAGGATGATAATTGTATTATGATCTCAGTGATAGAAAACTCTTTTATTAGATCTGGTTTGCTTTTTAAGGCATCTGCTAGTACTTACAATCCATGGCATTAAGTTGAACCATTAGGAGTACATCTTGTTATGGTTTGGAAAGAGCTTGAAAGGCTTTACATAATTTGGCAAATTTTCTTTGGAGCCTTAGTTGAGCAACCACATTTACAACTTACTCCTAAAAATTCAACTGTTTTTTATAACCATCATGATTATTACTCTTCATATATATATATGTGTGTGTGTATATAATCTATATAAGTTTAATCAGTGTAACTTTTTTGATAAGTTTATAACAGCCTATGTAAGAAATTAAAATATCATCAGAATAGAAAATGTTCAATTAGTTTTGTAGTTAATTATAAATATTAACCTAAATATATTTTTTTATAATTACGTCAATTTGTTTATTAAAATTGTTGTAATTATAATTTCTTGTTAATTATCTACTAAAGTATCTCACTTGAACAAGGTTTCTTGACACTTTTTTTTTAAAAGAAGCTAAACCATCAAGGAAATCCAAATGTATATTTACCAATGATATTACTAAGGTTGCTTCCCAAACCTCTTAGTGACTGTCAAAACTCTGTCGAAACTCTAATGAACAATTAGCATATACCTTGTCAAAACTCTGACAATTAATGTGTAACCTATCGAAACTCTGTCAATTGATTTTTGGGGGAGTTTCGCTCACAACCTTAAATATTACACAACTTGTAAAAAGTACTTTCGAATACACCATCATCATTCTTAGGTTCTCATTACAATACAATTTATAATTATGGTAATTTATACATGTGACTTTATTGATAAAATAAATATGAATAAAATATAACAAATAAGAAATAAAATAGTGTGAAATTATGAAGTTGCAGACAAAAAATTATCAATCCTCACATCATGTTCTAAATCAATATCCATTCCTTCTTTTTTAATCTTGATTTCAACCTTATGAGCTATAAGAATATGCTCAAGTTTGATCGTCTGTCCAAATTTTTCCATATCTTCGGGAATATCCAATACAAAAGTATACTGACATTCATTATAATTATCCCATGTAATTTTGTCTCCAATAACTTGTTTTTTTAATACATACTCATTCTCATGCTTTGAACTACCTTGGGCACTAAAGCTAGAATATTTTTTTAGTCCAACAAAAATTTCTTTGATCTTTAATTTAGGATTATATAATTTCAATTTTACATAAACAATTATTGGATTACTAGGTCCAAAATTTATATCATCCATATGAATGTTATAACCTATACCATTTGATGTGATGGCTTTTTCGGTATCATATTCTACCCAATGTACAGGAACTGGTGTAGATAAACAACATAAAATATTGGTAGCTGAATATGTTTCAGTGTGACACCCATCGCTAATACTCCTTGTTCTTGTTTCAGTCCAATATACATGCTCGGTGCCAGTAAATTTTAAAATAATTCGATTGACAAACAATTTATTAAAATGAAGATGGAGTGTACCAGTCAAGTAAGAATCTTCTATTCCTAAACGTCCAAATTGGAATGAAGATTGACCCTTAGGATATGAAAATTTTACTTTGGTACTATATTTTCCATAGCTTTGTTGTGATGGTTCATTCATATTGAGTAAGCTGTTAAATATCAGATATGATGATGATATTAAAATTGTCAGTAATCTCCTTTTATTTATTTTATTTTGGGAAATTTTAAAGACTATAAAAAGAAATTGTGTTGTTTCACAAAAACTACTGTGTTGTTTATTATAGGTTCTCAACTCAACGTTAATATTGAAAATTGTCAACAAATATTATTTGGAAAACAAATATGGTTACGTAGATCAGAATAAACTAGCTATTACTAACGAATTAGTTTTATTAGGAAATAGTTTTGTTTTTAGTGATTTAAGAAAATGGTTTTAATAAGTTGATATTTAAACTTTTATAAAGTTAGTCTTTTTTTTTACGATGAGGTAATGTCACATAATTTTAATTTTATTAATATTAAATAAATTAAATTAAATAGAAATTTTTGACTCCAAAAAAAAAATACTCTATAAATAGCTAAACCATTTTATTGTACCACACTGTTTCAATCCAAAATTGTCATCCAAATATTAATATTAGATGTTGAATCTGGACTAACTTTATGCAGCTAAATAAGTATGGTGACTAAGGCAGTTTCTATTTTTGATGAAGAGCGCAAAATTTATTGCAACTTCGTAAAAATTTAGCACAACTAACAAAATAATAATAATAATATTTATAATATAACGTTAACAGAACTGATATAATAATCGATGGTTTGGTTAAACCCCAAATAACACAGTAATACAATTAGCGAGGGTTAGTCATTAGACTTATAAAACTATCCAATCAAAAATAGCAATTGTCTGTCTAAATATTAAAATTTGGTACTTTTTTATGATCCAAAAAATAAATTCTCCATTTAGATAAACAAACATGATCACAAGGCCTCAACTTTAACAATAAAAAAAAATAATAATAATATGCAAGGTGATAAATCACTTCATTGAGTTAAATTACAATGAGGAATTAATTTAAATAGATATATCATATAATAAGGATAATAAAAAGATCATGTGAAAATTCCAATAGTCAGATGATGAGAAACTACATATAAATATAAGCATGGCGGACATTCGCAAATTGGCAATGATTTTCGTCAATCATATTTTGATTTTATCACGAAATTTGATTGGCCCGATAAATTACACAAAGTTAAAGAAAATTTTTATTTTTGAGAAAAGGAAGCTTCAACTAAATCGTTGCATGTATTTTTGCTAGCCCAGTATTTAACCAATTATAAAAATATACAAGTTTTTGTCAAATAGATATCAGAAGCAAATTTTTATTCATGTTATCTAATAACCATTAATTTAACAATAATTATAGAACAACCATTATCCACGAAATAGATAAATAGATAGATATATACATATTATACAAAATTATTATCATCCACGAAATAGATATATATTATACAAAATTATTAATTTAACAATAATTGTTTGTTTCTTTCCTATTTATCTAATAGTAAATAATAAATAAATATGTAAATAAAGATATCATACAAAACTATTAATTATAGAACAACCTTGTTTCTTTTGTGTCCTATTTGTTTATAATTATATATAGAACAGCTCACCTTGTTTCTATTATCCGCATTCATTTATTTATCTAATAATAAGAAACAGATATATATAATATAAAACTATTAATTTAATAATAATGATAGAATGATTACCTTGTTGCCTCCTTTCATTTATTGTTCTAAAATTTCAGTTTTAGTTTCTTTACAAAGCGCGCATTGTTTAGCTTTTGGCATTTTTCACTATTATATTACTGAAGTCAAGGAAGTTTGATCTGGTCTGATCTGACATGGAAAACGTTTTAAAAGATAAAGGATTATATTACTGCAAAGTTTGAACACAGGTTAATTAGTGTTCGTCCATTCACCTTCCAAATGGGGTAATAGTACCTTTAAAATCTTCAATTGAAATGTATGTTGGTGATCGTGTAACATACGAATGTCCATCATGCTATAAATATAATAATGTTAATGTTGATAATTACCATTATTATTATCAATACTTGTGTAACTTTATTAAAGCTTACTGGATTGAGGAAGATTTGTAAAATTCAATAATCAATATACTTGTTATAAAACAGCATTTGGATGATCAGTTGTTGTTAATAGGATTAAAAGATTTTTTATCTCATTCCCATTAATTTATCAAATCGTCCCTCAAAATAAATAGGTTTTTTTAATTTTAGATTTCATCAATAGCGATTGCATCTTTCCAAAAAAACAATAATATTTAAAATTTCATTTGCTGTTGGTCTTTTTTAGGATCAGTATCTGTGCATCTATAATATAACGTTTTGAAGTATTACCTGAAAAACTAGGTCTTAATCCACCACAGATCTTGAAAGCAAGATCTAGATCATGTGGTTGATCTTTGAATCGTTGTTAACATGTTGATAATTCTGGCATTAAAATCCTAAAGCTATAGATGTCAGACTTTTGTGTATAAAGTTGCTTATTTAATACCTCTGGTGCAATATATGACAGTACTCCAAATATATCATTTGATATTCTGGGTTTGATAACCCAAGGTCTGTAAAATTTATAGTACAATCGGAAGTACTTTGAAAAAGGAACAAGGTGAGAAAATTGTACCCTATATTTTCAAAATAAATGATATTCAGGCACTTGAGGTTTATCTAAGGAAAGAGAAAATCACCTATGAAATTTACCAAGAGGAAAAAAAATAATAAAAATTAGGAAAAGGAGGTGTGCTATTACCAAACAAAAAGCAGAAATCTTTGGAAGAAGGAAAATAAAATGCAATGAGTCTTATTATTACATATTTATCTATTTTCTTTTCTGTCCTTTTGGCAACATTAATCATAGTAATTATAAAACCCAAGTTTAAATATTCATAATAAAGTAGATTTACCATCAAAACTTTTTGAAACATACTGTGGCAAAGTCTTCATCTTTTTAGTAGTTGTATATGTTGATTATCTGGGTGTTTATAAAGCTCAACACACGGATAATTGGTCAGTCAATAAAATTCAACAGCTGGATAATCGGTCATTCGACGAATATCCTATTGAATATTCATTGATTTAATAAATTTAATACAATTATTTTATTTGTCAGGAAAAATATTTTCAATACATCCATATTTTTTTAAAAAAATACAATCCTTTCAAATAACAACGGATTCAATTTTGTTCGCTTGGCTGTCATTGTGTTTCCAGCTTCAATAAATAGATTCTCACTTGAAGTAGAAGTTGCTGCAATACATAAATCTTTTTTAGCTAATAATGACACAGTTGAGTATTCATACTACTTGATATATTATATTGTTATAATAAAAGAATGTTGGTGATAGTGTAATAGTGGATAAAGTAGTATTAAAGGAATTTCATTCAATTACGCGAATAAAAAATTTTTTTTATTCTAATTCTGTATCAATTTATTCGGTGAAACACGATTAATTAACACCTGATTAACAGATCGAATAATTGGTGAATATCATTTGGCGGATGTAACCACCAGGTTTTATATCGGTAAATTATCTCTACATGAAGCAATTTTTGCACTATTGTCATCAATAAAAATAAGATCAGGATGGCCAAACCATTAATACTAATGGCAACTTGTATGAAATCATGTATGGTGAAGTATCTAGAATGCCACATGATCCAGATCTAAAACACACAGAAAATTTTTTATTTCGTGGTAAAAAATTGTTTCTTACGTAATCAAATTAGATAACAATTCCTATCAATATGATTGTTGTCATCTAATAATCAGCCAATCACAATGTGGGCCAAGCTATTTTTGTTACTAACCTATCTATGAATTTTTTGGATTCATTACAGCAATAGCAACATTTATTGTACCTATCAAAAAAAAAAAAACCAAACCAAAAAAACTTAAAACCAAAATAATTACCACTTTTGTTTTTTTCATTGACATTATTCTCTTTGTATAAGTCAATCATTTCCCAACATGCTTGCTAGCAGATAGGTATATAATGATCTCAGCAATAAAAGGTTTTTTATTAATGCAGTTATTGGACCAATCAATGAGCTGTCATAAAGAAAATTTCCTATTATGATTTAGAGAGCTCAACAAACTTTTCTTTTTGAAACCATAACATCAAAAATTTGTTGCATAAAAAAAAATAAAAAAAGAAAAATTGTCATTATTTATCCTACCCAATTAAAAAAACAAGTATAAAACGTTCTAAATGTAAATATTCCGCGTACAGATTTTCACTTCATCAATTTATGGTTATATGTTGTAGATTAACATTAAATAAAAGGCACAAATTTGGTCAGACCCTGTCCCATTATCAATTTTTTATATACAATACATATGATGACTCTACATATAAGTTTTATCATCTTTGTAATCTTTTATTTCAAATTCAAAATACTCACGTTTGTTCAATGCATGCATGTGAGATCAATTGGTTAGTCAAGCTGAATTGTTTATTATCTTAATAACATTTGTAATGATGGTGAAGATTAGCAATTTTTCTACTTTGTCTCTTGATGAGATAAAGTCCAGTGTAGGTGTGGGGGGTGGGGTTTACATAGTCTTGAAAATGAGATCAATGGACTGCTCCTCTTAACACACAAAAAAAGATCTGTTAGAAAAACCATTCAATCTTCCTTTTTAGCCTACTGACAAAATCGCAGTAGTAATTATATAGTGGAAGAACTAAAAAGAAGAAAAATCAAAAAAATTTTTTTTTGCAATTGAAAAATAAACCAAGGTTTTTGCATTTAAATATTGAAACCAAATTCTGTTTCTATACCTGTTGGATCTGTTTTTTTTTTTTTCATTTGGAATTTGTTTTTCATATGTATACCATTACAGAGAGAGAGATTTATTATGAATTGTATATAAAAAAAAAAGTCATATTGAGTGAGATGTTTGATATTTGTTTATATCAGGACATAAGAACTAGTAAATTGCATTACAAATACTTGTGACAAAATCGAAGTCGACATCCCTGCATATTATTACAGTTTTATGCAAATAATGGTTCAAACAAACTATTTCTTTTATACCTGTTTGTTAAAACGACATCTTTCAAATTTATTTGACAATCAACTTTTAATGTTATCCATCTGCGGATGGAAATGACATTTGATTGAGCAGATTTCGGTCAGTATTCATTGTAAGCATTGTAAGCTAAGCAAGAAACAATACAAGAAGGAATGGGTGTGTATGCAAGGTAATAACAGTACGAGCACATGAAGTAATTAAACTCACTCATTCACTGTACAAAAAAAGAATAATAAAAGTGATAGAATATATTTGTGATATCAGGACAACAGATGAATTTAGTTTCACACTAGATGACAAAACGTGCATTTTTATCATTTCCTTTTATGTTATTATTTAAGTAATAGAATCTTTAATACTAATATGATTCTACAATGACAAATAAAAAAGAGCTAAATCGATAATCTTATTACAGAAAAAATGAATAAAAGACAGAGCCCACTTGCAGAACACAACTTTTGAATCTTTAATAATGTGGTACAAATTGGATTTTCAACAATTAAATATAGTAAATTCTCTATAAACAACCAGTTTCACATTAGGATTTACCCACCATTAATTTATACATATTTAATTTATACATATATAATAAGTACAAATTAAAATAGTATATAAATCGCACATATTTTCCTTCAGTTGAAAATTAATTATTATTAATTGAAATTATAAAATTAAATCAAAAAAATGTCAAAATCAGAAGATCATTTAAATATCGACATACCAACTCATCAAGTTCCATCGCGCCTCTTACCTGCTCATCCAAAACCTCATATCGACAGCTTTGAAAATTATAAGCAACTTTATAATGAAAGCATTACTAAACCTGACGTTTTCTGGAGAAAGGTAATTAATAATAATTAAATTAATTGATTTAATTCAATTTGAAATGCTTATCCATTTTTATTTTCTTACAATATTTATACATGCATACATATATGGATAGCTTGCTAATGAATTGCTTTATTGGCATAAACCATTTGAAACTGTTGTTTCCGGAGGTTTTGAACATGGCGATGTCGCTTGGTTTCCTGAAGGTGAATTGAATGCCTCTTACAATTGTGTTGATAGACACGCTTTAAAGAACCCTAATAAGGTAATCAATCATCCAATCGTTATAAATGAATAGATATTTTATTTATTCTCTCTATTCATATTTACATCTACATTCACTTTTACAAATTGATAGGTTGCTCTTATTTATGAAGCCGATGAAGCATCTGACTCACGTAAAGTCACTTATGGTGAATTGTTTCATGAAGTTAGCAGATTGGCTTTAACTTTGAAATCATATGGTTTGAAAAAAGGTGACACTGTAGCCATCTACATGCCAATGGTACCTGAAGCTGTAGTAGCATTTTTGGCTTGCGCAAGACTTGGTATAGTTCATTCTGTTGTCTTTGCTGGTTTCTCATCTGAGGCATTACGTGATCGTATCATAGATGCTTCAAGTACATTGGTCATAACTTCAGATGAGGGTAAACGGGGTGGTAAAACAATCAACATCAAAAAAATTGTTGACGAGGCTGTAAAAAGTTGTCCTTGTGTGAAAAATGTCTTGGTGTTCCGTCGTACTGGTAATCCTGTACCTTTCTCTGCTCCGCGTGATAAGTGGTGGCATGAGGAAATTGAAAAACAGAGACCTTATTGTCCATTTGAGATTGTTAATTCTGAAGATCCATTGTTCTTATTATACACATCTGGTTCAACTGGTAAACCAAAAGGTGTCTTGCACACTACTGGTGGTTATTTGTTAGGTGCTGCTGCTACTTTGAAATATGTTTTTGACTATCACGAAGGCGATATCTTTGCATGTATGGCTGACATTGGTTGGGTAACTGGTCATACCTATATTGTTTATGGTCCGTTGGCAAATGGTGGCACAACCGTATTGTTTGAATCAACTCCTATATATCCAACACCAAGCAGATATTGGCAAGTGGTAGAAAAATACAAGGTCACTCAATTCTATACCGCACCGACAGCTATCAGATTATTAAGAAAATTTGGTAATTCATATGTTGAAGGTCATGACCTATCAAGTTTAAGAATTATTGGATCAGTTGGTGAACCTATTAATCCTGAAGCATGGGAATGGTATTATGAGGTTGTTGGTAAAAAACAATGTTCAGTAGTTGATACTTATTGGCAAACTGAAACCGGTTCGATAATAATTACACCACTACCTGGTTGTACACCAACCAAACCTGGTTCTGCAACATTCCCATTCTTTGGTATTGAACCTGCTATACTGGATCCTGAAAATGGCAAAGAACTTAAGGGTAATTGTGTGGAAGGTGTATTAGCAATCAAAAAACCATGGCCATCAATGGCCCGTACAGTTTATAAGAATCATAATAGATATTTAGATGTTTATTTAAAACCATACAAAGGTTATTATTTCACCGGTGACGGTGTTGGTGTAGATAAGGATGGATATCTGTGGATTAGGGGTCGTGTAGATGATGTAATCAACGTTTCAGGTCATAGATTATCAACTTCAGAAATCGAATCAGCTTTGATCATTCATCCAGGTGTAGCAGAGACAGCCGTTATTGGTGTTCATGATGATTTAACAGGCCAATCTGTAAATGCTTTTGTTATTTTGAAATCAGATAAGGAATCATTATCCACAGACACCAAAGATTTAATCACACAAGTCCGTAAAGTAATTGGTCCATTCGCTACGCCAAAGAAAATATATATTGTAAATGATTTACCTAAAACTAGAAGCGGGAAAATTATGCGCAGAGTTTTGCGTAAAATTGTTGATAACAAAGTTGAAAAGTTGAGCGGTGAAAAGTTGCGTGAAAAGTTGGGTGATTTAAGTTCTTTGGCTGATCCAAGTGTTATCACTTCTATAGTTGAAAAAGTTAATGCTTCTTAATTATCATTGTTTTTATTTGTTTATCATAAAATTTTTTTAAGTGACAATTTTAATTTTATTGTTTATATCTCTTGGATGGGATTTAAAGTAGCTTTTTAGTATAGCCTTTTTATTATTATAAATAACGTATGACATCAATCATTTATTATATTAATTGTAGATAATATCTCTCATTTTTAATAATAAATTTACATAGTAAAGCAAACCGTATTTGATACGTTAACATATTAATATTTAATCATCTCATATCTTCTTCAGAAAGTCATTCAAAGCTTCTAACAGAGAAATATAATAAAATAAAATATGTAATAATGAAAAAAATATTAAATTATTACTAACAATATAAATAACTACATACACGCATTATTTTTGATAAACTTTTTTGAATAGAATTTAAATTAGAATTAATTTTTTAATACTGAAGAATCTTATACATTACATGGACAAAAGCTGGACGCGCTTTTTATAGCTTATGTCAACCAAATTATTTAAACTCTTATGGAAGTCGTTGATGCGTTGTTTCATTTGTTCTTGGTGATGACGGAGAAACTTTTTATGAGTGATTGATTGTTTTTCAATGTGACTTCTCGTTTCTATTAAACTGAGGAGTCACTTTATATACTAAAACCAGTTCTTGAAATAAATAATTTTTTCGATTTCTATCTTAGTCAGTAGATCGTGTTCATAACTACATTTGTTGTCTCGTCACAATAATCTCTTGCTCGTCTGATTTGCTATTCATCATTATGAAAAAAGCTTTTTAATAATCGTAGGAGACCTTCAAGATATATTTCACATATATTTTACAATGATTTTCCATAAAATAATATCGCATATATATATATATATATACACACGGTGTATTTAAAAAACATCATAGCAAGAGGTTGAATTACAAATTTACGAAATTCCTCGATCGCTAAATTGATATTATGCGGGTTTAACGGTTTAAATAATATTTTTGAAGGATTCTGACAAAGATTTTGTCAAATTTGTTGATCACCTGATCACCGATTATCTCAATTTTTTTATCTTTAAATTATGTATTTTTCGAGGAAATTTGACTTTTTATTTAAAATAAAAAAACCCATTATAAACAACCACTTATATTCTTTAGCAAGTCCATCATCATTTTTCAAACAAGCAGCAACAACAACAACAAGGAATTATGTTTCAATTTGTGAAAACAATCTTTCCGAATATCCAAAATATGATGTTATAGTAGTTGGGGGAGGTCATGCTGGTTGCGAAGCTTCGGCTGCTGCTGCACGTACAGGAGCAAAGACATTGTTGGTGACACAAGTACTCGATACAATTGGTGAAATGTCATGTAATCCATCATTTGGTGGAATTGGAAAAGGTGTTTTGGTTAGGGAGATTGACGCATTGGATGGATTGTGTGGTAAAATATCTGGTAAGAAAGAAAGAAAGAAATTTTTCAAAAAATAGTTGAATAAATTTTTTTAAAATGTTATATATGTATGTATGTATGTATATTTAGATTTATCAGGAATTCAATTTCAAATTTTGAATAGATCAAAAGGACCTGCAGTACAAGTAAAATATTAAGAAATTTTATTAATAACAAATTATGTTAAAAGATTTCCCACTAAATACAAGTTATATATATATTTTTTTTTAATAAAGGGTCCTAGAGCACAAATGGATAGGAAGTTATATAAAAAAAACATGCAAGAATGTATATTTAATTATCCTAATTTAAAAGTATTATCTGCTAGTGTTTATGATCTTGTTATTTTTTATGACAAAGAACAAAGTCATATTTATGGAGAGATACAAGGAATTAAATTAGGCATGTTATATATATGCAAATATAATAAACAAGTTTTCTTTTTGTTACCACCATTATAATCATTATTATTATCTTAGAATCAGGTGAGATTATAAACGCACATAAAGTTATAATTACAACAGGAACTTTTCTTCAAGGAGAAATCCATATCGGTAAGACAGCATATCCAGCTGGAAGGTATAATGAAGCACCGTCTCTTGGGCTTTCAAAAACATTAGAACTTGCAGGGTTTAAACTTGGCCGTCTTAAAACAGGTTATTTTGAAAATTAAAAAATTAAAAAATTAAAATTAAAATACTATTGAAGGATTCATTTTTTATAATAATAATAATAGTTATCGTTATTATTAGGAACTCCACCTCGTTTGGATGGTAGAACAATAGATTATAAAAATTTAAACCCTCAATATGGAGATGTCCCTGCCACGCCATTTTCATATATTCACACTTCTGTACCTCATGAGGTTAAAATATATAGAATTAAATTTCTTCAATAATAATGATGATATTGGCATTGATATTGATATTAATGGGAAAATTTTTATTAGAAAAATCAAATTGTTTGTCATCAGACAAAGACAAACCTAGAAACACACAAAATAATTAATGACAACCTTTCAGAAACAATTCATATAAGAGAGACGGTGAAAGGTCCTAGGTAATAATTGGTTAATTAAATGTGGTATTTGATTTATGGTAAAAATGCTTAATTGACTTGTCAATAATATATTTTTTTTTAAAAAAAAAAAAAGGTATTGTCCTTCCATAGAATCAAAAGTAATAAGATTTAAAGAAAAACAAGCACATATGATTTGGCTTGAACCCGAAGGTTTTTTTAAATTTAATTAATTTGAGAGAAAAAAATAATATATATTTATATATTACAATTAAAAAAAATTTTTTTTTACAAGTTTAGGTCTTGATACGTATGTTGTTTATCCTAATGGAATATCGGTAACTTTACCAGAAAATATTCAACATGAAATGCTTAGAACTATTAATGGATTAGAAAATGTGAAAATGATAAGACCTGGTAGCATAAATACGCAAATTTAGATGTGCAATATATTATGGTTTATTATAATTCACAATATTGTTTGTTTTTTTGTTTATAAGGATATGGAGTGGAATATGACCATGTAGATCCTAGAGAATTGAAACCTACATTAGAAACTAATCGTATAAAAGGATTATATTTAGCGGGGCAAATAAATGGTACTACTGGATATGAAGAAGCAGCAGCACAGGTAACGGTATCAAAATAAAATTTATCATTAATATTGTAAGAATGTTGAAGATATAAACTTACTAAAAGGAAATGAAAAATAAAAGGGAAAATAAATTCCATTATATTGTTTGTTTTATGTAGGGCATTATTGCCGGATTAAATGCAGGCTGTTCAGTTAAAAATCGTCCAGAATTTATTTTAGATAGATCCGATGCATATATAGGAGTGCTAATAGATGATTTGATAACAAGAGGTGTAGAAGAACCTTATAGGATTTTCACTGCAAGATCAGAATATCGTTTGTCATTAAGAGCTGATAATGCTGACATGAGATTAACGCGTAAAGGTAATGAATGATGTATAAGATATAGCGTGATTATCGATGATATTGGCATTGATATTGATATTAATGGGAAAATTTTTATTAGAAAAATCAAATTGTTTGTCATCAGACAAAG